TCCACGGTGTGGTGCTTGTCGAGTACCTGGAAACAGAAAACTTGAACCATGAACACACAGCACGAGAAAAAAGTGCACACGAGTACAGATAGGGTTCAACCTCTGAAGAGGAAGAACTTGCAACCCTTAACCCCCTGGGGCACAAGGTTTTTGACAGGGGAAGGGTACTACCTGGGCCGGTGGGCCCTACTCCTTAGAGGTCTGCCGAAGATGGTCCTCCAAGTACTTGATGAGGGCTTCCTCAAAGAGGAAAAATCCCAAAGGCCACAGATCCTCTCCCCAGGCAGGCCCTAAGAAACCTTCATCATCCATTTCTGTGAGTAAAAAAAAACACATGCAGTGTATGTGCTCAAGATAAATATGTGCAATAAATAATAATAATAAAAAAAAGTGTCAAGTGCAATACATTAGGCAGGCCCTTTAGCCAGTGTAAAACGTTCCCTAAACTAGCTAAAAAGCCTGCCCAGAAAATGAGCACAAGAAAAGTCATAAGTGACCTGACCAAGTGCCACTGAAACCAGTAAGGTTCCAAACCCATAGTGTTTTTATGGAACCCCTGAGATGCCACCCACAGGAGCTAAAATGTTATCATTGTCACTGGAAAGAAGAGAAAATCTTCCACTGGGGACCCCTATTAAGGTAACAGCTGAATTTAAGGGGTTTTTCCCCTCAGGTTGGAGAGAGACCCTTTCACATCTTATTGTGCCTCCAGGACAGCAAGTGAAGATAAACTTCCCAACAGGCAAAAAAAACCTTACAGTTTATATTCTGTATAAACACAATATTAAAACTTTTGGCTAGAGATAGACTTTAAAGTACTCCTTAGAATGCAGGCAATTTGTTTGAGATACACAATGAAGCTGTGCCCTGCAACATCAGGCCATCCTCTTGTGAATTGGATACCTCCAGATCTAATGCTGTATGTCAACAGGTTATGATGGCCCCATTGGATAAGGTATCATCTCATCTGTCATCTCCCCAAACAAAGTAATAGTGGATAAAGGCTGCAATTATATACTGTTTTGTGGAAAGGTTCCACCCAGCCTGGATAGCCAAGAAGCTAATTCGTGCCTCTTCCTTTGGACAGCTCTAGAAGTGCCGTTATTTGAATCCAATGGAGAATCATGGTAGACACATAAGTTCTTCATGTTTAGAACCCCCACCAGTTGACTATTCTTAAATTGATTGTTGCAGCACTGTTTGGAGTACTGTAGCACCATCTTGGAATTCCATTAATCGCAAGGATCAGTACACCTCAGAATGTAAACAATAAAGGTTTTCATCATTCCTTTTTTTAACTACTGCAATGTGATAAAAAAAAATACACAAAGACTTTCTGAAACCTACAATATTAAAGCCCCGTACACACAATGAGAATATCAGAAGAATGATCGTCTTTGTTTTTGCATGCTAGTCTCATATCGAAAGTGAAAATGTTACTAAAGTATGAAAATTCTTGTACGACAGAATAAAAATTCAGAAGTGATGTCATTGCATTCATTAATCATAAATCAATGCCGCGCATGCCAATAGTATACAATATCAATATTCGTGTAATACCATCAATAATTAAAGTGCTAGCGTATTATCAACACATATATCAATAAAGTGCTTCAATATAACCACATATGTGAATCTTCATAACATAATGTGTCACTCCCATATATATAAAAGTCCAATTCCGTGCTTGAATTTCACAGTAATAATTCAAATCCTGTGCAAGAATAATATGCTTCTTCTATGTGCCAAAACACCATAGCACCCTTCAGTGTTCCTCCACCACTGGCACACTTATGCTCTCACCTCCTTGTTTGACCCATAATAGGTCAATCACACTTTTCCCTTTCACCTGGGCAGGTATATCTTTAAATATGATCCTTCTCCACACTCTCTTCCACCAGCTCTTTGTTATCATTTTCCACTGTATTCTCCGGTGTCATGCAGAGAGAAAAAACGCTATACAGAGTGTAGTCTTTACAATCACCAATACGTTTATTTAAAAAGAATGCACTCACTATAAAAAGTGTCCTACTGGGACACTGCAGTTGATAAGCTCTCAGAAAATACTTCAGTGTTTTCTGGGTCACTCACAAAATGCTGGCTCGTAAACTTCCGGTTTGCGGCTTGACGTCATCAGCCCACCCTGCATTGTAATATATTTACATAAAAGTGCAGCGCTTAAAAAGTTACAAATAATCATAAGAAAACAGTGAAAAATGTGTCAAAAAATAGTCCATCCAAAAATAAAAGTCCCAGAGGCTGTGATGAAACAAAAAAAAAATCAAGGACAGTTGTCCTGTCACCAACCACTACTATAGAAAGCTTACCAGAAAGGCAAGACCCCCTGTTAAGAGTGTTCAATAGCGCTTTGTTAAACAATTCAGAAAAGTGGTCACTTGAATCCTCCTCCAGATCACCAAAAAAGCAGATAAGGATCTTCCAAACAATGGACCTTAATTAGGGTAATTAAACAATTCAGGATAAAGCTTGGACTCCTAGTGGAAAACATGCAAAGAAAGAACGCTCCACATACTGTAAAACCATAATCACAACATTTATTTAAAGAATGGTTGCACGCACATGTAAGCAAAAATCATTAGGCATTGATTGGCAAAAAAAATCAAAAATCAAAATGTTGTTTTATCCTGTCTTGTTCAGTCACCATCAACTGTAGAATGATTTACATGGATAAGTGTGTTCACAATGTAAAGATAGCCATACACATGTACATTTCTCTCATTCAGCCTCATGGACTGAACAGGGTAAATAATCATTTCCCCTATCCACTCTAAACAGCATGGGTGAAGGAATCCACTTTGCTGGGTAGTGTATTCAGCAGTCTGTGGTACCTGAGCAATGACTGCATCTCATTGGATACAAGCACTGTTTGGCCAACAATTTTCAATACAGCCCCTTTGACAAGAGTCGGTTGAAAAATCAACTTTTGTCAAGCTGTATGGTGCCATTAGGGCCACCTACAGCTCAAATTTCAGGCAAATCGGTGAGAATTGGTCGAGTGGACCATGGGCTAAGAGGATCTTTTGGTAGTTGCATGATTTGTACATGCCTGTTTACATTCTGCTACCTATGGCCTGCACTAGTTTGCAGATCAATATAAATAATTAAGAATTCCAACCCATATAATTGAAATGTGTCATTTCTGCTATTGACATCTTTATGACAACACTCATTACTTGGCTATTGTGCTTGCTCACTATCATCAATACTTATCAAGTCATTGGCTGTAACAAGTGGGCAGATCAGGAAACTCAGAATTATTGGACCAGTAGAGCCAGTATGAGAGCTAGACTGTTTGTATTTCTTCACTCTAGGAGACAAAGCCAATGATGGCAGCCTCCATATTTTTTGATGACAGGGTTCCTGCCACTTCTTCTCAGCGACTCTAGAAACAGGGAATCAGGGGGCCTCTGGACACACAGAAAAATACCCCTAGGAAGAGACTGTCTGTGAGAAGATGGCTGCTAAAGTACTGCATCTGCTTTCACATGTGTCTGCTGTGAACTATCCACTAAATGTGATAAACCCTGGAATTTATGCTAATGTGATCTGATGTGTTATGCCATTGTCCAAGTACCACCAGTAAAGTGTATTTATGTGTGGAAGTTCCTTCTTTTGGGGATATAAAGGTCAATGACCGGGAATGTTGTGTGGGGGCCTCAGGCATGGAGTAGACACAATATGGCAGAGGGTTTGACCTCAGCAGGTGGGGTAGTTCTAAGAAAAGGACAGGAACACAGAAAGGACTTGTGCTTTGGCACCAATTTCCAACTAATTTCAGAGCTCCTCTTATAGGTATGGATGTAGGGCATTAGATAATGCAAAAAAACTGAAAAAAATCCTCACCCTGCGCCCTCCAGTACACATAAAGAAACATGGATAGAAGCTCTAGTTTACATGTGAAAGGATTTCATTAGGGGATGATATCAGGCACAGCTCTCTTATGATCTCTTCTGCTGGATGGCCCATTTGCAGCAATGTCCAGTCCTGATTATTGCATTCCACTGCCCATTCCCTTGTTTCATTTACAGATGCCTCCATTAGCAGTAATGCCACATCAGCCTTGTTTGGGTAAAATTTAGCCTGAGATGACATTAGTAGTGCATTATTCAGTTCCACCCCCAGGGCTGTATGTAGATAAATGTGCAATTCTGTGCAGCAATCAATGAGTTATGCTCATTGAGTTTGACATCTATTGAGCCCTCTTTGACCCACTAATGCAGATCTGATGGATTTGTGCAACGCATTTCACTGACTAAAAGCAGGCAATGAAAGCTGAACTGTGAAAATGTCTGCAACGAAAAATTCACTTTATTAATCTAATGGTTTAATAAAAGTTCAGTGTGCTGAAGGCATATATCTGCAAAGACGGTCATGTACTTGACTAAAATGTATCTTTACTACCAATGCAAGCTATATAAAACCAGATCCATATACAGACATACACTATATTGCCAAAAGTATTGGTCGGCCTGCCTTTACACGCAAATGAACTTTAATGGCATCCCAGTCTTAGTCTGTAGGGTTCAATATTGAGTTGGCCCACCCTTTGCAGCTATAACAGCTTCATCTCTTCTGGGAAGGCCGTCCACAAGGTTTAGAAGTGTGTCTATGGGAATGTTTAACCATTCTTCCAGAAGGCCATTTGTGAGGCCAGGCACTGATGTCAGGGGACAAGGCCTGGCTCCACTCTAATTCATCCCAAAGGTGTTCTATTGGGTTGAGGTCAGGACTCTGTGCAGGCCAGTCCAGTTCCTCCATCCCAAACTCACTCATCCATGTTTTTATGGACCTTGCTTTGTGCACTGGTGCGCAGTCATGTTGGAACAGGAAGGGCCATCCCCAAACTGTTCCCACAAAGTTGGGAGCATGAAATTGTCCAAAATGTCTTGGTATGCTGACGCCTTAAGAGTTCCCTTCACTGGAACTAAGGGGCCAAGCCCAACCCCTGAAGAACAACCCCACCATAATCCCCCTCCACCAAACTTTACACTTGGCACAATGCAGTTAGGCAAGTACCGTCCTCCTGGCAACCGCCAAACCCAGACATGTCCATCAGTGGCAGCATGCTTTACACCACTGCATCCGATGGTTAGCATTGCACTTGGTAATGTAAGGCTTGGATGTGGCTGTTCGGCCATGGAAACCCATTCCATGAAGCTCTCTATGCACTGTTGTTGTGCTAATCTGAAGGCAATATGAAGTTTGGAGGTCTTTCGGTATTGACTCTGCAGACAATTGGTGACTTCTGCGCACTGTGCTCTTCAGCATAAGCTGACCCTGCTATGTCATTTTATGTGGCCTACCACTTCATGGCTGAGTTGTCGTTCCCAGTTGCTTCCAGTTTGTTATAATACCACTAACAGTTGACCGTGGAATATTTAGTAGTAAGGAAATGTCACGGATGGACTTATTACACAGGTGACAACCTATCATGGTACCACGCTTAAATTCACTGAGCTCCTGAGAGCGACCCATTCTTTCACAAATGTTTGTAGAAGCAGTCTGCATGCCTAGGTGCTTGAGTTTACACACCTGTGGCCATGGAAATGATTGGAACACCTGAATCCAATGATTTGGAGGGGGGTCCCAATACTTTTGGCAATATAGTGTTTATAGGCATCTGCCACATGCATTTACTATCATCAGCCTTGTACCACTGTTACCACTTTTGTCATGGCTTACATCTAATTTCAGGCTTTACCTGCAGTCTTGCACAGCTGTAGTACAGGCTCTGTTCCTGTGCTGAAATTGCTTACTCTGATTTCACTCCACAATGTGAGCTGTTCATAGCGTAAATTAGAAGGTGCAGCAAGTCATATAGAGCCCATCTCACTGGAGGGCGCCTAGCATCATCTAGCACTTTCCTCCTAAGCCTTACTGTCCCTGGCCCACCCCTTTCATTCATTGGATTTCAATTCTTTAAATCATAAGGGTTCAGCATTGCATGGTCTGCTGTTTTAAGAAGCTATGTACAGTTCCTCCCACCAGCCTTGATTTGCCTACATTGCATGAGAAGCACAGAAATCCACTGATGACATAACTGGGTCTGAATTTAGGTTTGTAATGAAAACAGAAAAGTTTTCTTTAAAAGAGAAGTATATGTTTTTCATAAAAAAATATATGCTCACCTAGGTGGATGCAGCACTGAACTGATGCTGCATCTGTCCCCAGCAGCTTCTAAGACTGAGAACTGAACGATCAAAGACCTCTGATTGCTTACGCCCCATATACACAATCAGAATATCATACGAAAAATGCCACTTTTAAAGCGATCGTACAATAATCTGTTCGTTAGTAAACAGCAATCTCAAAAAGATTCAAAGGGACAAGCACAAAAATTTGGATCATACAATTTTATTTTAACCAGTACAGTAACCGTCCAAAAATAGTATACAAATACATTACATTCTTCAGAATTCCGTTGTTAAAGAATTTTTGTAACTTTTTGTAACCTCTTCACTTTTGATATGAGACTAGCATGCAGAAAAAAGCGGACGATCATTTGTCTGACATTCTAAACGTGTATACGGGACCTTAGTTCTCAGACTTCAGTGCCCCCTCCAGCACTTACTGGAGGCCCGGGCTGCTGTAGGTGTGGAAGGAGCTGGCTCAGGCTCTTAGTAACTCACTGAGAGGGTGAGCCAGCTGCCTGTCCAAGCATGTGGTTGGATCCCGACAATATAGTCAGGATCCTTTTAGAGCCTGGACCGGCTCTGTGACATCAGCCGACAGCGGATTTTAGCTTTGGCCATACTTCTCCTTTAAAAATATCATTAGTCTCTTGATGAGTGAGGAAAGGAGGAACCAGGTAAAGCAACATATAAGCAGACTAAACTACAGCTTTAAGGATTCTCTGAGCATCTTTGGCCCTCTTGATCCCACTGAAGCACACATATGACATAGATTGAAATTGTCTTAGAAATTCCCAATAAACTTTACATTAATAAATACCAAAACACTATATATATATAAAATGCTTAAACAGTTTGGCCTCATGTACACAGGACATAAAAATCGCCGTTTACAGGTTTTTGATTTTTTTTTTCCAGCCTGTAAATACACCTCTGTGGTCATGTAATAGAGGAGCATTTAGAGACTAGAAAAAAAAGCGCACCACCAGCACATTCATGAGAAGAGCATTTGGGCAGTAAAGATGTTAATGCATCTAAACTCATGTAGACACACCTAACCGCTAGCCGCATTTAGCGCTTGATTCATTCCAATGGCCAAAATATTATGTAGCAGGCTCCTTGTACGAGAGGATTCAGAAGGAATCACACGTTCTGCAGTCGGTCCTTCCTCTCCCTCCCCTATTGTAAAACCTGGGCATTCTGCCAAGCTCATGACTCATCCACTACACAGCAAAGAGCTCTCAGCAAAGTACGCTGGGAAGGGAAGGGAGCAGGAAGAGAAGGGGAGAACGGAGAGACACACGAGGCGGGAGAAAAGACAGGGACACGTGGAGCCCGTCCAAGGAGAGGAGGAGGCAGTACAGCACTCAGCGCAGATAGAGGGACCCTGCTGTGTGTTCAGAGTCTGGTGAGCTGTCCCACTGGAGAGAGTAAGACACACCATTTACACTTTGCATATAGACTGGGACATCCGCACCCCACTGCTGGGATCTCACCCATCCAGGGCCCTGTGTAAGCCACAGATCTCTCTGCCTGCTTTGCCCCTCACCACCAGTGTAATTGAGACTGTCTGCCCCGGGGACTGACACATACTGGGAGATTGCATCCGGCGACTGCTCCTGGTCTTGGGGTGATTTGTGTGACTTCTAGACACTGAGGTTGGATCCTCTCAGCCCAGAAACCTAGTGAAATCTGATGTAACCCACACCAGCTGAAACTCCAAAGAAGCCTTCAGCTGCTATTTACTTCATTGTAAGGACTAAACGTGCACCAACTAGAGCTCCACCGTTACAAGGACTGAAGTGGGGGAATCTGGCTTAGTAGCCTTATTAGAGGTACCTCTTTATTGCATTCTGTTCTGACTCTGAGGTGATTTTTAGCTAAAGCCCCTCAGAAACAGAATCATACCCCGGTGTGGGTAATACATTTCATTGATAGAGTATAAGTAAGTTTATTTGTCTGATATCAGTTGTATTTTGCTTAAAGTGCGGCTCTGCCATCTGGAGACTCTTGGCTGTGAAGCCCTCTAGTGGTAGACCAAATTTACTGCATTGCACAAAGAAGAAAAGTAAGTTTTGAAGTTTGAAAGGGGAACCCCACCCCTGTACACTGCATTTCATTCTCCATAAAATTGTTCTTGTTTCATTTAACCCTGTGTCTGCAGATTTCTTGGTGGTGTATTTGCTATTCATTACCAGTTGTGCCAGAGGGATTGGGTTTGCTTAGGGTTGGATCTATTGAGCGCAGGACCCATAACATATTCCAGCTTGTCCCAAGGGGCAGTGCTACAATTAATTTATGGAAAATGAAGTCGATGAATGCCCAAATGTTTGACTCTCCCAAACGCGTCTAAACGCATGCAAAGCATTTTTAAAGCTGCTTTTTAATGATATCAGGGCCATAGACTGCTGGAGAATAGGGGATAAGGCACCCAGTCTGGTGGTGTGGAAGAGCAAAGGATTGGGTAAGTAAAGCTGGGTATACACAAATTTCGATCTGTGTGTAGCTCAGTCTGTTCAACAGAAGCTCATTGTTAGACTGGCTGCTGTTGAGAAGTCTTGCTGCAAAACCATCATTCACTAAGTCGCTGCAGTCAATGGCTACAGTGCTGATCAGTGTATTCTGATGAGGGGGTCCCCCACTGTTAGAATACAATAGCGCAGCGGGATAGATCCCTGCATCCATGTCGCTTGCGTCAATGTGGGGATCAGTCAGGTTTTTTTTCATTCAACCAGTTGGCTGACAAAAAAAAAACTCCACGTGTACAAGCATGCTTTTCTATGCCCCCCCAGCCCTAAACAGATAGGTAACCCTTGCAGTGCAGGCACAGCCCAACTGTTTTTCACGTTTCCTGAGTTGGTCTTTGAATTTTAACCATTTACTAGATTTATTTTCTATTTATTTTCAGTGCTTGTTATGTTTAATACATGTAGTAATTAGGCTTCTTCTGGCAAGTAAAAAAAACAAACAAACAATCTTAGGTATTTGCTAATGGTAACATTATGGCCAGAGATGTGTGTCAACAATGTTCATATCTGCCCATCTGGTGGAGAATGTAGAGGCACAATATAACCATGCAGAGGGCAGCACTGAGCTCCTTAAAAATAGAGGACATGCAGCCTGTGCATTCTTAGTTTTATGCTAAATCATACAGTTTTTTCTTTCTTTTATAAAAAATGTAGTCTATGTGATGGGGAAACAAAATAGCAAAGAAATAAATCAGCTTTAAAAACAATGCATGCACCTGTCAATACTTATTTAGTCCCTCTGATATGGCAGTTTCACTGCCAGATAAAGTCACAAGTTAAAACAGTATACTTAGCCAGTCACGTTCCCTAAAAAAGCCTGTAGAGGCTGATTATGACATTATACACTCGTCATGCCAACAACTGCAGTTCAGAGGTGAGCTTCAGAACCGTGTACGCTTCCCGTCGGTGGCGTAAGCTCTGCCCTTGCTCAACAGATACAAGGAGAGACGCTACTTTTTGAGACCTGCAAATTGTACAAGTTCTACTTGATGAATATTACAAATTCCAGCCATAAGCTGATGACAGCTTCTTTTGAAGTGAGTTGGCTGAACTCTGATGATTTGAAAACACCACAATGAGAAATAATTTATGAAGCAATGCATAAATATTATTAAAAAATGATTCAGCGTGTTTTTTGTCTGATCAGGTAGTATCATCCAAAGTTTAAAATGGATAAAAAAAAAAAAAACACACACACTAGATAGAATCTGATTGCTCTGATGAAAGCCATTGTGCTTTGATACATGGGATACATTTGGTAAGTGCGTCAAAGATTATTGATGGTAATATCAAGTATCCGACTTTGCTCAAGACCCATCCAATGCAGGCATGCAATCTAATTCAAGCAAAGCTTTCCCTATTATTATTGTATCCAAGTGCTAGGCTACAGCAATATGGAGGAGACATTGCCCTTTATTCTTATTACTGATATTAATGCTGCACCATTCTCCTCCGTCCAGCAGGGGGAGAACTCAAGCCAAGCAAACCCATAGACTTCTTTGCAGAACACTGAGAATCCTGGGAGTTGTAGTTTGAGATGGCAGCCATATAAGGGTGCCAATGGACTCCTTACACTACAGATCCCAGAAGGCACTGTGCAATAGGAGCGAGATATGATTTTTATTAAACTGCCAGGGAAAGTCTCTCCTCTTGGTGCTGAGGGAGTAAGCAGTGAGCAACTTTGACTCTACACAGCTCTTTACATACTGTGAATGCATATCAATCCCTGTCCTCAAGGAACTTACAATTTAATGTCCCTATCTCACATGTACACATATACTAGGAACAATTAAGACAGGAGTCCTTCAACCTTCCAGCATGTTGGATACATTGGGATTGATTTACTAAAGGCAAATAGGCTGT